CCGCAGGCTGTACGGGGCTACAGAGTGACTGTGTTCACACCGGTGCCTCAGCTTTTATAATCCTTAGCTTCTGTAGGTGAACGTGAGCTAGTTAGTATACGGCCACGAGTTACCCTCTGGACTTTCACCTAAAGAATGGCCCAGGTCCAATGGACCAATAGCACCCCACACTGCAAACATGTGGGATAGCACCCAGTCTAACCCCAGTATTAAGAAATTGTCGCTGGGCGTGGTGGCGCATGCCGGTAATCCCAGTACTCGGGAGACTGAGGCAGGAGGATCACTGCAAGTCTGAGGCCCGCGTGGGCTCCACAGTGAGTTCAAGGTTAGCCTGAACTACATGGTGATACCCTATTTCAAGAACCAAGCCAGGGCCAGGGGCGCACTGGGGATTTAGCTCAGCAGCACAGCACCTGCCTGGCAAGCGCAAGGTCGTGAGTTTGATTTCCCATACGGGGGAAAAAAAAAAATCAAACCAGGGCCAGGGATGTAGCTCAGTGACACAGTGCCTGCCTAGCAAGTGTGAGGCCCTGAGTTTGATTTCTGGTACAAAAACAAAACATTAAAACATTAAGAAATCAAGATCCTGGGGCTGGGGATTTAGCTCAGCGGCACGGCGCCTGCCTGGCAAGCGCAAGGTCGTGAGTTCAATTCCAGATACCGGAAAAAAAGCCAAAAAATAAATAAAATTAAAAAAAAAAAAAAAAGAAATCAAGATCCCCCTCCAGAGGTCGCAAGGGTAATAGAATCAGGCCTCTTGAACTTTTACTGCCCTTTCCTACTCTATCACACTGTTCTCTAAGTAACACTGGTCATTCTGGAATTTGAAGGTGGCCCAAAGCCTGATACTAGCAGTGTAATTGTCGGACATCAGCCTTGCCCAGGGATTCTAGCATAATAAGGCCCCAAGGAGTCTAGTGTTAAATAGGAGAAACCAAAATAGTAAAGACTGATTACAATGCATAAAATTACCACTAGTACATTTCACGATAATCTGGGAAACTGGGAAACACAAACAAAAACAAAAGCACTGGAACCCTTGCTAAAATACAAAAACTGTGATAGCTAACAGGTTATTTTTTTTAAGTACGAATGGCAGCCAGGCGTGGTGGCCTGCGCCTCTAGTCCCAGCTACTCGGGAGGCTGAGGTGGGAGGATTGCTTGAGTCCAGGAGTTCTGGGCTGCCGTGGGCTACGCCGACTGGGTGTCTGCACTAAATTCGGCATCAGGATGGCGACTTCCCAAGAGTAGGGGACCACCAGGTTGCCTAAGGAGGGGTGGACCGGCCCAGGTCGGAAAAGGAGCAGGTCAAAACATGAATGGCAACCAGCAATCCTTGGTGAACAGGCTGAAGTGAAAAGTGAGAACTACGCCCCAAAGACCATAGCAGAAAATAAAGAAACCCAAACCTAACCTGAATACATCAAGAATATTACACTATTTAAGCAAAGGAAATACAAATGGCATTAAAAAGACACTAGCAAAGTTGATGCTAGTAAACTTTCATTTGAATTTGGTTTAAAATTCAACTTAATATCTACTTAGCTAATGATCTCTGTGATTTCGAAGAAACAGGCTGACATGGTTCGTTCTGTAATGGATCATAGGCATATTACACTATAGTAACTTCACAGCTAGGACTCCACAGCTAACTTATAAATGAGTGGGGCATAAAGTTGCAGCAAAATAGACATCAAGGAAAAAAGTATTAATTTAGGTTTTAAAAAATGTAAAATAAGCCAGGCGTGGTGGCACATGCCTGTAATCCCAGCACTTGGGAGCTGAGGCAGGAGGATCGTTGCAAGTTTGAGGCCAGCCTGGGCTACAAAGTGAGCTTAAGGCCAGCTTGAACCGTATAGCGAGACCCTGTCTCAAAAAGACAAAAAAAAGGTAAAATAATGGTGATTTACTGTCACAACCACTCTGTGTAACAAAATTATCTTTTAATATTTTACATCAAGCTAAACAATGTATAACTACTTCTAATCGCAAGAAGTACTTCTCCAATACAGTCCACCACGTAGAGCTGTAAGGACCGTGACATAAAAGGAACAGTTAAAACAGCTGTATGGTTATTTTCTTTTACTAACAATGACTGCTAAAAAGGAAACCTTTGCTTCTTCCAGAAAATAAGATAAAGGATAATGAAAGTTTGTCTCTAGTTTGAAGGGAAAAATACAGATATATTTTTATCATTAGAAGTTTAGTTTGTGGTAAATCTTTCATTTATTTAACATGAACGGGATAATTACCTTGTAACAAGCTCTTCCATGATTTAGGGACAGTATGGACAGAGAAAAGTATTCTGAGTAAAGGGAGTATCACATATCGGGGCCAAAAGAGGGAGAAGAAATACCAAGTATAAAACTAACCTATGTTTTCCAATATTTAAATTTTTCTGAGTTTAACTGTGTATGTATCATCGATTTGGTCACGTTTTCTTTGGTGCTCAGTAACTGGGTGTCCACAGCACAACGATGCAGTTCATTCATGCTGACTCGCCCCAAAACACCAGAGCAGCGCTCTCAGCCCTGACTAACCCCAGAGAGAAAACGTAATGTCACTGTCTGTACGGTGATCGTCACTACTGAGTTTTGGCTCGACAAATGCTTATACATCCCCACCAAGCCAGCTCCTGTCTCAGGCACTGGTTACTGTGAATACAAAGATCTGGCCACTCCCCTTAAAGTGAACTACCTACAAGGGATGAGGGACCATTACACAGGTAGTTTCCGACACCGTGCTGGGGGGCGAAGAGAGATGTGTGCACAGGCTGGTAAAAGAACACAGAGGAAAGGGCACCCAGCTCTGCCCGGGGAAACAATGCGAGAAGGGATTTTCACTCGGTACCACAGAGCGGCCAGGTAAGTCCAGGCTTTTGGGTGTGATGGGCAAAGAACTGTCCAGTGTACACCACGGAGCAGGTAGCAAGCAGCTACATTTTAATGAAGATCAGGGGAAGCTGTGCTCAGGGCAAGTGTGCGCTGATAAAAGACACGGCACAGACAGAAAAATGGAGCTGGGGTGACGAGAAAGCACAGAGGCCATAGCAGGCAGAAGCAGCAACAGCCCCTAACAAGTGAGGTTTTCAGAATTTAAAGGGTATGCACCTCTGCCCAGGTGTCTCGCCTTCATCTCTAGGCGTGACTGACAGGAATGACTGACAGGATGCTGTTATCTCGGGAATCTCAGCATGCAAGCTTGTCCCAGAATGCGCTCTGATCTTAACTGCATGCATGACCTGAGCTGGGAGGAGGGTGAAGGTGACCGAAGGTTAGGCGAGGAGAGTCAGTACACGTGCTCCTGCCCAGGCATCAGAGACCTTGGTTACTGCGGTTCTATTTTCTGCCTAGTTTGCACAGTGGAAGGAAGAATGGCCATAGTGTGCTGTCTACAGTTAAATGGATGGGAGCGATGTCCTCAGCTCCACTGTTTCTATCTGTACTACACTGACTTCAGTGAGTAGGAGTGAGGTAAAAACTGACTCTAAGGGTGTTTAGAAAACAACACAAAGACTTCAAGTTTGAAAGTGTAGTCTGGTGGTGTGGCGTGGCCTGAAAGTACGGGTATACACGGGGGAGACACCAAGTGCACAGGAAGAGTGCAGTGAGAGACAGACACCAGCAGGGATCACAGGGGAATATATATGTATATATATATGCCATGGGGAGTCTGTGAATTTATCTTCTGGAAGCAGGACAGGTTAGGGTTAAGTGATCAGAAGTAAACGAAGTTGGGTTCTAATTCTAGTTCTATCATTTACTAATGATGAACTTATCAGTTACTTTCTTTGAACTTCAGTTTCTTCATCTGTAATATGGGGACACCTACCTTACTGCCTCGTTTGGAGAAGTTAATGACAAGGCCCCTTGATACCACTTAGTGACAATGAGAATGAATGAAGTCAGAGAGAATGGAGGATTGTCACTGTCACCAAGGGTTACTAACTGCCTACACAGGCTAACATTTTGGCAGAAGAACATCAATGGCAAGGTGAAGGAATAATGGGTAACTTTGAAGGCAGAAAGATTAGTCAAATTATAATCAAATTATAACTCAGATAGGAATAGTTGTTACCCTAGCAGGCAAGGATTACTTAGCAAAAAATTTGACATGGGGCTGGGGATACAGGTCAGTGGCGCAGCATCTGCCTAGGCGTAGTGCCTGCCTGGCAAGCACGAGGTCATGAGTTCAACTCCTGGTACCAGTAAATAAATAAATAAACAAACAGGGCTATAACTCAGTGGTGGAGCACTTGCATAGCATGGGTGAGGCCTTGGGCTTAAGGCTCAGTACTGCTGGTGGAGCGGGTAGGTGTTGAGGAATTTGCAGATTGGAAATACAGACAGCTTCTTTGAGCTAAAAAGTTAATGATTTTATGCTATGCAACATAGAAGAGTTTCAAATGATTTCTTCCCCCTAAAGTTGAAATTGAGATTTTTTTTTTAAAAGCCCATCCTTAAAAATCCATTACATACAATTATATCCAAATAAGTAAAAGATTACGTAACTTTGAGAGACTGTGCTGTGCAGATTCACCCACACTGCAGTCCACCGTCCCTGGTGAGTCCTGACAGGTACAATCCTGCAACTCTGCTCATCTGCCCCAGGCAAATGCTGCGATTGTCTACTATCCAACCACTGGAAACGCACAGCGTCACAGCTGTAACTGCCAGTGACTTTCTTTTTTTTTTTTGTTTTTTTGTTTTTTTTTTTTCTGGTACCAGGAATCAAACTCAGGACCTCGCGCTTGCCAGGCAGGTGCTGTGCCGCTGAGCTAAACCCCAAGCCCCGCCCCCTGTCAGTGACTTTCTGTTATGCAATGGCACCCATACCACCCCTTCACTTACAGGGTCACAAGACAATGTGAACTGAAATCGATAAATCTCCCTCTAGGGAAGAGTCTAACACGGAGTCTAGAGCTGGGGATTTAGCTCAGTGGCACAGCGCCTGCCTGGCAAGCGCAAGGTCCTGAGTTTGATTCCTGTTACCAGAAAAAACCAAAACAACAACAACAACAAAACAATAAAACAGAGTCTACATTTAGGGAAAAATCAGGATTCACTGTCTATATGACCAGCTTGCTTTTCCTATACCAAGGAAGTCTTTTTAGTAACTGTACATAAGATGGATTTACTTTTTTTAATTGGCAGAAATAAATCTGATTCAATTAGTGATTTGTTTCATTTTTTAATTCTTCAAAGATGTCCAAGTTATTTCATGAAGCTTCACTTTAATATATAACCAAATTGATACTTAAAGACCAGCCATTAAGAAAAACAGGTTGTGAAACTACTATTTTGAGAACTGGATTATCAGCACCTTCTTTATCAAGCTTATGTGCCTCATTATGGAAATTCATGCTCAAATTTTAAGAAAAATCACTTTGTTGGCTGATTTGATGAAGCTGTCACAGAAACAATAATATGTCTCAATAATTATATGACACATAAGAAAACTGGACTGTAAGTTTGAGAGCTAGAGGTGTTAAAACAAAATAAGACAAAAAGGCTGACAATAGCTCTTAAATTCCAATGAACACAACCTGAGAAACTCTTTCAAATAGTAGTGGCCTCATTTTTAATTTGTCTTCTCTTTCTTCTAGTTCTCTTCGGTATTCTCTCATCCTTTCCTTTTCACTCTTTCTAAAATCAGATAAAAGAAGTGGACTTGTAAAAGGCCGTTTAAGAAAATAAACTTGAATATATACATTTTGCTTAGAGGACAAATCAGAAATTATGAGCACAGTTCACCTTAATTCCTTTCTTAAACTGTTTCAGTTCTCCAGGAATACAGAGTAAAAACCCTAGGTTCTGAGAATGCCTATTTTATCGCACAGGAAACAGTCTGCCTACTTTGACTTCCGAAATCTTCAAGGCCTAATGCACTTAGGGGCTTCAAACTGGCCTGAAGAGATGAATGAATGTTTATTATCTCTTTTTTATAAGCGTACAAAACCAAGAACATTTGATTCAAATTAGGTACTTACATACTATCTTTTTGTTTTGTTTTGTTTTTTGAGACAGGGTCTCCCTGTGCAGTTCAGGCTAGTCTTGAGCTCACTTTGTAGCCCAGACTGATCACAATGATCCTCTTGCCTCAGCCTCCTGAGGGCTGGGATTACCGGCTGGAAATCCCAGTGCGCCACCACGTCCAGCTACATATTATCTTTAATATCAGCTCTTTATATTATCTTCAAAGAATTCCTTGTGAAACAGGACCTTGCTCTTGTTCCTTCCCATGAACGGGATCCCCTGAAGGTCAGTGGAAGGGGTCAGATGGGGCAGGTCAAGAAGAGATAGGGAGTGTGAGACGGTAACACTTAGGGAACAGGAATGAAAACCAGAATCTCCTCAAGTATTTACTCTCTGGACAAGATTCTATAAGGAATTAAACTATGTCGTTTTTTCTCTATGTGAGAACTATTAAAACAACCAAGATAATATTTCACAGCCTACAGAAAATAATCCTACTTCAAAATTATAATTGCCCTCAATTATACACAAGTTGGTGCTATAAAAAAATTAATTTACTTTTTTTTGAGGCAGGGTCTCACTATGCAGTTCAGGCTGGCCTTGAAATCACTGTAATCCTGCCTCAGACTCCTGAGTGCTGGGATTACAGGCGTGTGCCACCATGCTCAGCTAAAATTAGTTTACTTCTTACATATAAATATCATCTAAGGAAATTTTTGTTCTCATTCACAAAATTAAGTTCCTATCAAGAAATTAGTGCTGCAATATAAAGGTATACTTATTGTAATTAAAAGCAAATATATATAGATAGATAGGTATAGATATATATTTTATTTCTTATAAATCAAATTAAAAAATTAGTAAATCATATTACTTACCTAGTTTTGGGAAGATATTTTCTTACTTAAACATGAATATTTTCATGTGCAACATCTGGAACACTGGTTTTCAAACTTTGTACTCCAGAATTCTAGTATTCTGTGAAAGGGTTCTAAGTGTTGTATGGATATCTTCTTTTTTTGCAGGGGGCGGGGGGGGGGTACCGGGAATCGAACTCAGGACCTTGCACTTGCCAGGCAGGTGCTTGTGCCTCTGAGCTATACCCCTGGCTCTGGGGATATTTTTTGTTGTTTTTAATATTGAAGCAGTAACAATGGCACATACCTGTAATCCCAGTATTATGAGAGGGTGAGGCAATAAGACTGTAAATTTGAGCTCAACATGGGCAATTTAGTGATTTAGCAAGATCCTGTATCAAAATGAAAAACTTATACTGGGTGGTGGTACATGCCTGTAATCCCAGCACTTGGGAGGCTGAGGCAGGAGGACCACTGAGAGTTCAAGGTCAGCCTAGACTACACGGTGAGTTCAAGGCCACCCTGAACTACATAGACTACATAGCGAGACTCTGTCTCAAACAAACAAACAAAATTTTTAAAAAAATTTTTTTTTCTAAAGGGCTGGGGATGTAGCTCAGTGTGGAGGTCCTGGGATTAACTCAGGACCCAAAAACCCAACCTTTTAGGCAGGATCTGACTTATGAAATTGGAAATCCAATCAAGGCTAACTGATACATATAACAAACATTGCTTGTTTGTTTGTTCTGGTCCTTTTGAGACAGGGTCTCATCGTGCAGTTCAGGCTGGCCTTGAGGTCACTTTGTAGCCCAGGCTGGTCTTGAATTTGCAATGATCCTCCTGCCTCAGCCCCTCAAGTGCTGGCATTACAGGTGTACGCCACTACGCCCGGCAAGAGAAAGAATTTAAAAAGGAACATATCCCACGTAACATTAACACACGTTAATCAACACGTAACTGGTGTTAATTAACAAAGATGTGTTAATTTTTGCTATCAGATTTTGTGCATATCTAGAATAAAACTCCTTGTCATATCTGTTTATTGAAAAAATATTCTGCGCTAGGGGTGTAGCTCAGTGTAGAGAGTGGGTTTAGTATGTTTAAGGTCCTGGATTAAATCCTAGGATTGAGATTATGTGGAAAGCTTTTAAAAAAGTTTTAACTATGTGAATCAAGATTTTTCTCAATTCTGTATAGTATAATCAAATGTAACACAAAGAGGGCTGGAGATATAGCTCAGGAGTAGAGTTTATGCACAGCATGCATGAGGCCTTGGATTCTATCCCCAACACCATATGAGAGATAGACAGACAGAGGATAGCTAGCTAGATGATAGCTAGATTATATATATATATATATATATATATATGAAAAAAAAGTTAGATGCCGTTAAAGGATTACAACTACTAAGACCACAAAAAAAAGTTTCTGTTCATCAACATAGCTTCACGGTTCTCAGAGGTGAGTGTGTACACTGGTTCTCACCATGAGGATGTGTGTGTGTGTGTATACACATGTTGAATATAAGTAAGTGTAATTTGATTCCATAAACTAAAACACTATTAGCATTTTCAATTTGTTCATACCTTGGTATCCACTGACTAAAAAAAAAAAAAAACCAGGCATGGTGGAGCATGCACGTAATCTCAGCTACTTAGTAGGCTGAGACAGGAGTGTGAGGTCACTCTGGGCTATACAGTGCAAGTCCTAGCCCAGCCTGGACTGCAGAGTGAGACCTTGTCAAAAGAAAGGATGGAAGAAAGGAAAGAAAAAAGGAAGAAAGGAAAGGAGAGAAGAAAAGGAGGGGAAAAGAAAGTTTGGAAACCAATGTTCTGAATTCTTTCAGGATACCTGAGATATTTTAATTTGGATTTAGACATCTGAGCTAAACTTTGATGTGGATCATAAGCCTTAGCCCGGGTTGTCAGGAGTTTCTGCAGTTCTTTCATTCTTTGCTTCCGCTTAGTTAAGATCCGATTTCTTTCTTCTTCCAACATTTTCTTTTCCTCAAGTGATCTCCTGAGGGCAATAAACTAAGGCTTAATTCACCTTAAGCCAAGGAGAAAGCTGCTTCACAAAGGTTTAACACAAGATGATTCAAAGGTTGGGGGGGGGGGGGGGGGGGGGGCAAAAACGCAACCTTTTAGGCAGGATCTGACTTGTGAAATTGGAAGTCCAATCAAGGCTAACTGTAACCTTTTCTTTCCCCAAAGATTCACAAAATGGAAAATACACTCATTTCTTTAAAAAACACCCTTAAGCAAATGTTCGTGATATAGTAAAATATGTTACAGATACAATAGTTTCTTAATATTTTCAAACTCACCAACATAAAACCAAGAGAGCTACATTTACGAGCTTAGCAAGCGTCAGCCGGCCAGCCTGAGCCTCGCTTTTACCTGATGGCTTGCTCCCGTCTGCTGGAGGACGCTGTGGGCACGGGAGGCTTGCAGCCGCAAGATGCGGGCTTAGCACATGCATTTCTGCCTGATGACTCACGCCTCGGAGACAGATGAGGCCCACGGGTTTGTTTCAGATTTTCTTCACTTGCCGAAACGTTCTCCCTCTCAGCACATTTACTCGAGCGCATATGAAGATCAAGTGGTCTTCGGACTGCTGAGAGTTTTGGACACTTATGTTCCGAGAAGAGTTTCTTACACTCCTCAGGAAGGTCTTCAACATCAGGAGTCTGGAACCTGGCCGTGTGTTTATTCCTTAACTTTCCAGCCTGCTCTGGACACTTGGGGCTCCTGACATGCTTGTGAGGCAGAGGGGATGAGTTCTCTAAAAGCTTTTGGGCTCTCAGCTGTGCCCTAAGGTTCCTAAGGAGCTCTTCTTCTTTTAATTTGTCGCTGGTAGCTGAACTGTAAGTAGATCGAGGTATGGGTCTGGCTTTAAACCGGTGTGTTGTCTTTTTACACTTCAAACGGTCTCTCAGCTGCTTCTCCCGGGCTGCCTGCTTCTGCTCCTCTCTTGCAACAAACGTGAATGGCTTTTGTGAGGCCAAAAGGGTTTCTTTGTTCTTCTCCTTCCTGGCCCTCCTCTGTTCTTCGTTTTGCTTAACGAGCTCATGATAAAGGGGAAGGAGGACACTCAGAGGAACAGGATTGGCGCGGAATTTCTTCTTACACTCAGACTCGTCTTCATTTTGGGGCAGTTTCTGTACTATGTCACTATCTGGTTTAGATTTCATGGCCTCTTCCTTCTTCTTCTGCTCTCTAAGCATCATTTGAAAAGGTGCGGGTACGGTAATGCTGGGCACCCATTCTTTTGGTTTCTTCCTTGTTTTTTCAGCTACCTGGAAGTCAGTATCTTCACCCTGAATATAATCTTCAACACAGAAGTTCTTCCACATGTTGCTGATGAGCGCCTTGGCACGGGTCATCACTTTGTCTTTCCCGGGGTGCTCTTGTTCTAGGCTGGGCAGCTCCTCTTCAGAGGAGGAAGTATACGCGGAGGAAGACAGGCCTAAGTCTGGCTCCGAAAGTGACGTCATTAACACAACAGGGCGACAGGAATTACTTTCCGATACAGAACTAAGTGAGAAGAATAAATAGAATTGTATGTGACAAACATAAAAATTAAACTGGAGTCATGTTTGGGGTTTTTTTTGTTTTTGTTTTTGTAAGGGGGATTAAACCCAGGACCTTAGCACTGATACATATCCCAGCTTATTTTATTTGTATTTTGAGATAGGATCTTACTAAACTGCCCAGGCAGAACTCGAACTTGTAGTCCTCCTGCATCAGCCTCCCATTACAGGGATGGGCCACTAAATCTAGCTCGAGTTATGTATTTTCTAATATGAGAATATAACCAACCAGAAGAGAGGATCTGGACAGGGCTTATGAAAATTATTATTTTTATTTAGAACAGAGCAAAGAGATACCTATAAGTTATTTAAGTTCACGCCCTCATTTTACAGGGAAGGAACCTGACGTGTCAGAGGCTCTGTCTCACTTCTGTTAAACTCTCCACGTTTTCTAGTGTTCCCATCCTAACCCATGTATCTGATCATGGCATTTCCCTGCTTGAAACTTTTCAGTGACTTCTCACTGCCACGACTGGCTCATAAAGCCTTTGGGGACTGGCCTCTGTTTACCATTCCCATCCAACCTCTCTCCACTTCCGACCTCCCTCATGTTGTTAAGCTACACTCACACACCAAGACTTCCCACAGCGCCATGCTGTGCACACACGGTTTCTGCTGCTAACGGGGCCGCGCCTTATTTCCTGCATCTGCTGCAACTTTCTTTTAAATTCTTATTCCTAGTACCTGTCAAGAGTACTGAAGCTTATGTTCACCTTGCGGAGCAGGCACACGTACATAACACAGCTTGCTTCTTAATCCTCTTAATCCGTTTTCAAGACTGAACTGAGATGTGGCACTTTTGGGGAAAATGTTTTCCTGCACCCCTCCACCCACAAGTTCGCAGGATCCACTGCTTCTTCCTCCTTTCTCTCTCTTTTTGCAGTACTGAAGGTTACTTCCATGGCCCTCACATTGACCTACATTACCCAGCCCATTTTTTATTTTCAGACAGGGCTAAGTTGCAAAGTTGCCCAGGTTGCATTTGAATTTGGAATCCACCTCCCTCAGCCTCCCAGAGTGCTGGGAGTACAGACATGTGCCATGTACCCAACTACCATTCCTTCCTGCCTCTGTCCCTTCTCTTTCGGCAGTACTGGGAATTGGACCCAAGGGCTCGTGCATGCTAGGCAGGCATCTACCACCGAGCTACATGTCCTTTACAAATGTGTTGTACTTTTTGAGACAGTATCTCACTAAGTTGCCCAAGCTAGCCTTGAATTTGTGATCCTCCTGCTCTGGTCTCCCAAATAGCTGGAATACAGATTATAGGTGTGCACCACCATACTGGGCTCTTCCTCCATTTATTACACCTCTCACATGCTGTAATGCCACTTTCGCTTCTCAGCTACCCTCTGGCATCCTTGAGGGCGACCTGGTTTGACTCCTCGGTGCCCAGGTGAAGTGCTGCAGACAGGAGATGCACAATCCCCGCTGGCCAGCGGGTGAATGAAGAGACTGCCCCAAGCTTTCACCACAGTGGGTACATAGCAGAGATAGTTCCTGACATTATAGACTACTTTGAAAGCATAAATCAGATTCATGTCTCCCAGTTTGGAACGCCCTGTACTGTTTCTGTTGTAGTACATGTTTGTATGTGCATATGTACTGTATAGTGTACACATATTTACCGTTCATGTTCGGTTCATGAACTTGATTTTTCCCATGATTCTGCAAAAAATGTCCCCATAAGGTCAACACTGAATGTAACCACTGAGTTTGATTTGGTTCTCATTCAGTTTGGTTTATAACCAGAACTGTCAAGTGAATTGAGTTTGTGAACCGAACTGCCACTCTATACAGCAGTACCTTGGTTCACAAACTGAATGTGTTTTATGGCTCTGGGGAGGATGGCCATAGCTGTCACCCGATGTGGAGGGGTTTTTTTGTTTTTTGTTTTTTGGTCTTTTGAGACAAGGTCTCACTATGCAGTTCAGGCAGGACTTGAGCTCACTTTGTAGCCCAGGCTTGCCTCAAACTCACAATGATCCTCCTGCCTCAGCCTCCTGAGTGCTGGGATTACAGGTGTGCGCCACCATGCCCAGCCCCCAATGTGGAGTTTTGGAACAGCAGTAAAATTTTGTTGAAAACTTTTGTTTGAGAACCAAATTGTGAACATATGTGTTTGTGAACCTAGGTATTACTGAATATACACACACATATATATGGTATAAGCTATACCTGAGATGGTACTGGTATCAGCTATACTATACTGGTATAGTATGTATGTATGTCTCTGTCTCTCTATGTATCTATTATATATAGTATATATACCTATAGTATATATATATATATATTATATATGTATTTCTTTTCATAGTGGTGGGATCAAACCTGGGAGTGCTCTATCACTGAGCTACACCCCCAACTATTTTTAATTTTGAAACAGTGTCTTATTAAGTTATTCAGGTTGACCTTGAACTTGAGACCTTTCTGCCTCAGCCTCCCAAGTAGCTGGAATTACAGGCCTGTGCCACTGAGTCTAGCATCTTTACACTATAAGTTAATCCACACATTAGAATGGGCTTTTAAAATTAAACTTTAATGTATATCATTTAAAACGGCACAATCTAAATCTTTTGACACATATCTACAGGCCTGTGAGTGGTGAGTCAAAAAGGAAAACCAAATGGCCACCAAATGACCCTCAGAGAAGGAAGTATCCTAGTAAACCAGTAAGTCATTAGAGCATTGTGAATAAAATCGCACCTCTGCGTACCATTAAAAGCACAAAGGGATATTTAAGAGAAAATACTCTGAAATAACTTCATTCTCCATTTTTAGTGTACATTTTATTTTACAGTCCACAAGCGACACTGAGTACGTACCTGGAAGAGTTGCTGGGAACATCTTCCCTGATGGCCACTGGCTGAAATCCCTTTAACTTTAATTTATTCTGGTACATTTTCTCTAATTTTTCCATAGTTTCTGTATGAGCCGCCTTCAGCTCCTCTACTCTCCTGAAATACTCTTCGTTAGAGTGGCACAGGTCAGAAAAGCTCAAAATGTCGCCACAGTGTATGTTTCTTCCCAGCATAGAAGAGTAGGTGTCAGAACCGGCCTGGCAGGGGAAAAACCTGTTACACGGTGTTTGGAACCAGAGAAATCAAACTGACACTGAGCCAGATGCTGCTGCGTAAAGGGTCTACACCTTGTTGGGCTGTGTCACTTGAGGGCGGTACACATTTTCCTCTAATCCTATATTATTTTATTTATTTTTATTTTTATTTTTGAGACAGGGTCTCGCTATGCAGTTCAGGCCAGTCTTGAGCTCACTTTGTAGCCCAGGCTGTTCTCGAACTCGCAAGGATCCTCCTGCCTCAGCCTCCTGAGTGCTGGGATTATAGGCGTGCGCCACCATGCCCTGCTCTAATCCTATTTTAAGAACAAGAGAAAGTGAGATCAAAGTGCCAAAAAAATAAATGCTACTTAATCCATTTGATAATGGATGGCTGGATTCCTGGATGAACCAACAAGAATTATTTAACTCAGTATAGTCCCACTGTAGTAGAACAGAACCAGACCACTTTTTATGTTTTCAGTACTGGCACTAAGGACATGGCCCCTGCACACACTGGTCAAGCAAGCACTCTACCCTAAGCCACATCCCTACACCCTTTTAAACATTTTGTTTTGAGACGAGTCTCGCTAAGCTGCCTCGGCTGTCTCAAACTTCTGATCTTCCCGCCCTCAGCCTCCCCGTGCTGGGGTTATAGGCACATACCAGCCCACCTGGTGCAAATCACCTTTTCCAGTTTCCGTAAGGAGCCTCCTGAGATGAAGAGGAACACAGTTCCTCCTGCTGTAAATCAGGCAAACAGAGGCCAGGGTCATTGCTTGAGCTGGAATTCTGCAGTGAGACTCCAAGGTGTGCCAGTGCAGAGAAGGCAGAACTGAGAAGGGGATGAGGATCAGGGACAAAGTTCTCCATGGCTTGTTAAGAAGCCCTGTGAGGTGAGACCTCAGAGGGGTTGGACAGGCCATGAGGGGAGTTGAGGGAATTTTCAGGACAGTCTTTTTTTTTGGTTTGGTTTTTTGAGATAATGTAGGGGGCAATGAATCTTAGCATATTATTTTAGATAAAATAGTTTTGGTAAAAGCCTACATGGTGCCTTGGGAAGCCTCCCAGGACAGTGTAAGAGCTAATTCCCCAGATCAACACTGCCCAGGAATGTCTCTCCAAGATAAGGGGGCGCCAAGGCCTAGGTGCCCCTCCGTGACCCTGCCCAGGCAGTTCCGTCTCCTGGCCCTAGGTAAACATTGTAACCATAAAGGAAGAATGTATGGTTATCTAAAGGGAGACATATAAAACAGAATACAGAAAGTATGTATCATTGTGGTTGGGCTCATGACCGGAGCCTGACCCGGTTACATGGCACAAGGAAAATAACATGTGGCCAGGGCTACAACATTCCTTTCTGTTACCATGGAAACCAAAAAAGTATATAACCTGGGAACAAAGACAGGTCCAGGCCCACTTCCTGGACTTGCAAGTTGGGATGAGAGGTGACCGGTCTAAATTAAAACTTTGTCTGTTCTCTTTGGTCTCTTGCGGATTACAGCCTGAATTTTTGCTGCCAACCATAGGGTTTTGCTTGCCAAATGGAGGCAATCCTCCTGCCTCAGCATCCTGACTGCTGGGATTACAGCCATGTACCACCATGCCTGGCTTTAGAACAGTCTTTCCTGGGGGTAACAAGAATAATGACACAGACTCCCATAGGTGACACAGACTTTGAGAGTGATGGTTCTGTATGTACATAGTTGTACATAGATATTCCATATACAACTGAGATAAAACCTGTTTGTTTATAAATATAAAAAATTTAATATGTTCTCAGTTGAGAAAGTTGGAATTATTTAGGACACTATGCATAAAAGACTATCAACTATGGTTGTAAATTTAGCCTGCTGTTTGGAACAGACTCAAAATTTTAAAAAGAGTATTTGTTATAGAAAACTACACATTAAATCAGGTAAGACTCTAGAAAAATAAATGCTTATTCTTCCCAACATGAAAATTCAAGAGTCTGAGGCAGGAGGATTGTTGTGAGTTCGAGGCCAGCCTGGGCCACAAAGTGAGCTCTAGGCCAGCCTAAACTGCATAGGGAGACCCTGCCTCAGAGACAAACCCCCCCAAAAAAACCATGAAAATTCAGAAAAGTCAATTATGAACACTAGTTATCGAGGTGGGTTTTTTTTTAATGGGCTAACAACAGTGTACAAGAGGCCAGTGCTGCACTTTTGGGGTAATTTAGAGAAAACAAATGAAATGAAACAAATTTTCTTCAACAAAACTGATACGTTCAAATTTGTTAAACCAAGTCTATGATTTTAAAAACTGATTAATGTACGTTATATACATCATTTAAGAGAATTCTGATATCTTCTGCTATTTCTGTAATGTGTGAGTCCACTCTGCAGCCTGAAGCAGCAGCCTTTGTACCCACTGCCTTCTCTCCCTAGGCAGATATAAAATTTTTCTCCCTAGGTACATATAAAATTCTTATATGTACCCATTGCCTTCTCTCCCTACAGCAGCCTTTGTACCCACTGCCTTCTCTCCAGAGACCTGCGCAGCCTGCCCACCCCTTCGGGTGCCACCCAGTGGCATCTGCTCAACAAGGTCTTCACTCACCGCCTCCGTCACCTCGCTGTCATCCCTCCTTCTCTGCTTTACTTCCCCAGGATTCCCTAGCTGCCAACTGTGTGCTAACTGCCTCCCCCACTGCAAAGCAGGCCTTACAAGACAAGGTCTGTCTGCTTCACACGTGTGTTCCCAGTGTCTAGAACAGGCTCTGGCCAAGGGTAAGTGTCTGAAAAATATTTGTGGAATGAATAAATGGACAATTAAAACATACAAGTTTCTACCATAGGAAGAGAATACTGAATCATGCAAAGAAATATTAATTACAGAGCTGCATTTGTTCTACTGAATATTAAGGAACAGACTGAAAACGACACTTAAAACAAGGAAGGTATTCCAGCAGAACATTTTTGGGCAGAAGCATCCATGTGTCCTCATCTATTCTTTCAGAATATTTCTTAAAAGAAAGTTTTATCTCAATCATTTAAACAAAAAGGATCAAATGTATTTTCACCTGGAAGAACTACAGTGGTGCCTCGGTTCACAAACGCTTTTTGAAGCATTTGGCAAAATTTTGTTTCTGTTTCCAAACTGCACCAGGTGATGAACATAACCGCGGCCATCTTTTCCCAAACTGTGGAACGAATTAAGTTCATGAACTGAGGCATCATTGATTTGAAAAAGATTGAGAAAGATGAGTAGCTTTTGCAGAGATGAGGCAAGTCGGATATATACTACTTAAGCACTAACTTTTGCATAATATCCAACTCCACGTTCAGCTTAATAATGTTAACATGAGATAAAGCTTTCCAGATAAACCGATCTCACAGTTTTACCTAAAACTGTGATGAACTGCTAAGAAATTCCTTCCTTTTTCCAGTGGTTTTTTTTTGGTGGTGGTAGGGGACATTGGGATTCGAACTCAGAACTTTGCATTTGTCAAGAAGGCACTGTGCCACTGAGTTCTCTCTCCAGCCCATGACTGCCAATTCTCATTTCATCTTTAACTGTCTACACTCAGAAAACATTCATTATATCAACACAGGTATGGACATGATTTTTCTCTCCCTTTAATCATTTTGGTTATTGTAGAGCACTGTAAATGCTGCCACTCGATCAGAAGATAATCTTCCTGAGACTGGCTTGACCCACTTAGATAATGAACGCTTCTAGCATCTGTTGCTTCATTAGTATCAGTACCCAAAGGAACGTTTTGGGTTGTAGTCTGCAATTCTTAAATTTTTATTTAAGTTTCTTTTTTTTTTTAAATTTATTTATTTATTTAAGTTTCATTCTATTGGAAAGGATCTGTTAGCAATGAGGCAGACCTGCATGTACTAATATGGCTAACCCCCCAACGAATAAAAAGAGAAAAACCAAGTTGCAGAATGGTAAATCTGTATCTTTATAACATGCTACCATATATTAAAATACACATAGGCAATAGAAAGAAAGCTCAGAAGAATAAAATACATAACAAATTTAAACAGTGGCTACCACTGAGGAGAGAGCGGTATCCAGATTTTCTTTTGCGGGGAAGCAGTGCCTAAAGCCTTTATGTAACATTTGATTTTTTTTAAGAGATGAGGTCTCAACATGTTGCCCTGGCTGGCTCTGTAACTTTGCAAAAAAGACAAAGGATGTTTTGTGAATATAAATTCTGCATTAAACATTGAACAATGTCTACTGGACACCTGGCCTGCCCGGCACCCCACGTGCCCCTCTCCCCAGCAATTCTGTTCACCTTTCCCTTGCTCCTTCCACTAACTGCTCCCACCTCCACCCTCCATATGCTCCATCACCCCTGAATTTATTTCTTAGGGAAACAGAAGCCATCAGACGGACGCTCCCTCATCTTATCTACACAGCTCTCCCTTTTGGGCTCCTTATCTCCAGGGATGAAATGCAGCGTCTGACACTTTCCCTTATTGTTACTGTGAACATGGCACCCTCCCCACTCTTGCATATTTTTCCCAATACCGTGGCTCCTCCTTATTCTCTACCTGACGGTTGAATGTTGAGGGGTTTTGGTTTATTTGTCTATTTGTTTGTTTTTTGTCTTTTTGAGACAGGGTCTCACTATGCAGTTCAGGCTGGCCTTGAGCTCACTTTGTAGCCCAGGCTGGTCTCGAACTCCCAGCAATTCTCCTGCCTCAGCCTCCCGAGTACTGGGATTACAGGCGTGCGCCACCATGCCCGGCTTCAATGCTGTGGCTTTTAAGAACTCTACAGCAGCCTTCTCCTCTGCACTCTCCCTCAGTGACCTTATCCATTGCCGCTGTTTTAGAAGTGCTAAAAATACAAATCAAGATGTGTACATTAACATGAGATAAAGCTTTCTTTATTTTCTTGTTTGAATACAGCCCAGGACCCATAGGACTCCACAGGCCCAGGTTCTTCCCGGACATTTCCACGTGGTTCCACAGGCATCTCAAGTTACCACATTTAAAACAGAAACCTTGATTTCCACTCACCCCTCAGACCTATTCCTCCCCCAACTGTCCATCATTCAGCAATACTGCCCTCCATACAGCTGTTCAAACCAGACGCTTGGGAAGAGCTTGCGTGGGTTTCCTCCTTTCCCTTGGCCTTCACACTGTACCCAGCAGCAAGCCCCAACATCCCAGAACGATCTGCCCACCCTGCCATCACCCCTGCACTCTTAAGTGCAAATCACTGCCTCTGGCACCTGAATCATTACACCGCCTCCTAACCTCTGCTCCATCCAACACCCCAATCCTTTCCCACAAAGCCATCAGACATATGACTTAAAATGTGTATGTCTCTCCTTCCTGCGTCCTCCCCCACCCCTCCTCCCTGGTCCTGCTGGCTCTCTTTCAGACCCGCAATCACACAAAGCTCTCTTCACACCTCAGGGTCTCTGCACATGCTGTTCTCTCTGCTCACCCAGGCCCCCTCTTCAAAGGTCTGTTCTTTCTCATCTTTCCGGTGTGAATGTGCATGTTAACGCGTTTAAGCAGGTTCCTGCTTACTTCTTCTCTAAATCATCAGCGTGTGTTCATTTCTTTCCCAACATTTCCCATCTTTCATGATTACTCACTTTCTGTTGGTGAATTTCCCCACTAAGCTGGAAGATCTCTAAGGATATGAGCCATGTCTGTTTTGTTCACTGCTGAACACCCAGTGACTAGCACTTAATAAATGCTGAATACTTGTTGAAAAATAGGATGTTGTTCCACTACAAAATTCAGTCAAATTTTAACTTTGAAATATAGAATTTTTTTTACCCATGTAGTATTAGCCACACTACTGGACCTATGAACTGACAGCTCCAATTAAAGCGAGATTCAAGGAACACGCACAGAGCCCAACATGGGCACAAAGCCCTCACAGGGTGCGTGGGCAACGGGGTAAAGGGAAAGCGTACGGGGATGATCCAGGGGACGGTGGGTGACTTGGGAGGTCTGGTGTTAGCAAAATCAAAAGACTAAAAGAGGCCTACTGTGATAGTTTTTGACTCAGTCTTGTAGAACAGAGATAGTATCTGAGTTTACTGTATTTTATAGATGACAAAGCTGAGACAAATCAATGTTTAAAAATCAAGACTGAGACCCAAGCCAACCTGGGAAGAGGGGAAAGCATGCCTCCTGCATTCTTTTCCACCTTTTCAGCACTTCTCATCCCAGCCCTGCTGCCCTCCGGCTGTCAGGCTTACTGTGCTTAGTTACCCAGGTTTACAATTGGTCTTTCATGTGTGGTGGTCTCAGAACAGGGGCAAACTTAAAATACTTCTTTGGTACGATCCTGTCCTTTTGAAAAGAGTTCACTGTATAAAATAATCACTCCTAAGGCAGTAACAGTTTATAACACAAATCTGTAGTTTAACACGGCACTGTAGAAATATAATTACAACTACAGTATACAAACGACTGCTGGGAATGCAGCTCAGCGGCACAGCTCCTGCCTGGCAAGGACGGGGTCCTGAGTTCACTTCTCAGTACTAAATAAATAAATAAATAAGATGACAGGATACGTGTCATCATATGTCCAAGTTTCCAGCTCCTACCTGGCAAACAACTGACTACCACCACAAACCAAAGTAAAACTGAATTTTCAAGGAAGTTGCTCAAATGACAGTCCCATTGGCAGCTGTTATACTTAGTGCTAATTTATACAAAGTGCTCTCTAGATATGGCACACACTCTTTCATTTGGTTCTAATGGATGAGTGAAACAGGAACAAGAAACAATTGCTACATCACTTTTACAGATAAAGAAATGGAGATCTACGGAAGACATACCCTAATCTCACCTAGCAAATAGGAAAAAAATAGATCCTAAATAAAGAAAAAGAAAACAGATCAGCCCGCACCCCGAATCCTTTCCTCCATTCAAATCTTCTTCCGTCATCACTCTGCCTCTTTTGCTACCTACTGCAAACTGTGTTGGGAGCAGCTTTCTCATGCATGAACATGGTCCTAGAACTCCAATTGATTCACGTTCAGGGCTTCAATCTGCCTTACTCTGTATAACCTCAAGTTGTCTGCCTGTTGGTAAAATATTGGCCATAAAAGGTTTGCTATAGATTTTCTCATTGACAGTTTTAGTACAGATTACAGAGACGAGAATTTCAAAATATTTGGTTATTTTTATAAGCTCTGGACCATAATTTTTCTTTTTATAATGTTTTGTATTTGAGCAGCTTTGGACATCTGGTATTAAGCAACTTTAACTGGGGATAAGGAGGTTCATATTGCAAAATTCAAGCTTCTCATCTTCTAAGTGAACAGACCAGACGGCAGACTCCGGTCTCCACCTGCTGCACAGGAGCGCGAGGCGCATGTGACACTGACAACTTGTTTGCAAAGGCTGTCTCACTCCACCCTGAAGGGCCCTTTGGGAATACTGGGATCTCCGAAATTTGCTTGCCTGGATGCTTATCTATATCCGCGTCTGACCCATCCACTGGGTTCTCCATGGTTTTAAACACCCATCCCTAATGTACTGTGCTAAAATCTGCTAATAACCAAGAAGTTAAAAACACACCTGACGGCACGGGTGATTCACCTGGATTTTTATGTTATTTACCATGGGGTAGACCAGTCTTCCCAGTGGGAAAAAAGTATCTGTTCTGCCACAGATGCTGGGGACAGGATACAGGTCGGTACTTTGCACTCCCTAGAAACAGTAAAAAAAACGAAAAAAAAATCCTCCCCCAAAAAGTTTTACTACAATCTCTTTTTCTTGTTTGTTTTGTTTTTCTTCCGGTACCAGAAATTGAACTCACGACCTTGCGCTTAGCCAGGCATGCGATCTGCCACTGAGCTAAATCCCCAACCCCGACAATCTCTTTAGTAAAGAAAACTTTCAAACACCTCGCTTTTGAGTATGTTTTCGGACGGGAGGGGCGAAGGGGCCAAGAGAGGGTGGCAGGCCGGGATCGCGAGGGAGGGCGGGCGCGCCCCAGGTCCCGCGTTTCAGCCCGTCCCGCCCGGACCAGCTCTGCGCCGCGCCCCGCCCGCATTACCGACGCCCGCGCGGGCCGCGACACCTGCTCCTCCTCCGGCGAGTCTGCCTCCGCCAGGGCCTCTAAGGCGTCTTCGCGCTCGTACTGGGCGACCCGCGCTCCGGTTCTGGGGTTTACCGGCAGGTGGAGACTGGCGGCCGCCAGTTTCGCCTCCCGGTGCGAGGAGGCCATCACCGCACCTCCGAGGCCACAGCGCCAGCGCCGGCCCGGGGCGGGTAAGCTGGCGCGGCCTCCCGCGACCTGGCAGCTCTTGGCGGGCGGTTACCAGGGTCGCGGTTACTAGGGATGCTACAGGAGCCGCGAGGGACCAAAAGTCATGCAAACCCTTCACGTGCAACCAGAAACCAAAATTATCCATTGAACCTATCTTTCTTAAACTAATAACAGTTACGACAAGTGTGGTGGCGCACGCATGTCGTAGCACTTGGGAGGCTGAGGCAGGAGGGTAACCGCAAGTTTCTGGCCAGCCTGGGCTACATAGCGAGCTCAAGGCCAACCTGAACTACTTAGCAAGACTCTCAAAAAAAAAAAAAAAAAAGTCATTAAAGTAATAACACTTTATAATAGAAGTCTGCAGCTCAACAAGGCATTCTGGGACTATAATTGCAACTATACAAATGACTCTACCATAGACAGCCAAAGCATAGTTTCACCTTCAAGCTAGTTGCTGAAGTGACAGTCCCATTAGCGACTGTTGTAATTATTACTAATATACAAGTTGACATCCAATTTACTGGACAATGCGAATAGGTACTGAGTCTTTTTGCCGGTTTAGAAGGTTGGCCGACCTAACAGGGAATTTCGTTCCCTTCGCGTTTAACCGCATAAACGCAGACTTCTCATACAAATAAAACCCATTTTTTGAAGAAAGAGTACATATTTATTAACTGAAAAACTTGTGAGGAGACGCGGAAAGCAGGCGGTGTCATATGACAGTCTCTGGAAGGCGGCAGCGCATGCAGCCCGCGACACCGGAAGTGTGATAACTTCTCCTCTGATTGACTTGCGAGCTAGCAGGCGTCGACCAATCAGAAAGAGGCTACTGGTTGCCCCTCCCGCGTCTTTGGCGACCGGACTACAAAACGCCCAGAACTGGGTGGTGCCTGGCGCCCCCATCAGTGAGTGCAAGCGGAGAGAACCCGGCGTTTGCGGTGGTTCGTCACCGTGGGGGCGGCGGGGTAGCGCCACGCGAGCCCAGTAGTAACCACAGGCGCAGCATCCTCCACCTCACCCTCATTAACGCCCGCTTGGGATTCGTGTGCTTCAAACCGTGCCTTCCCTTTGTACCGCGTGCCTGTAAGAAAGACCGAAGCTCAAAACAGCAGACTTAAAGTCCAGCCACCTGCTGCTTAAGCTAAGCCTCGACTTCCCAAGGCCGAGGCTGCCTTCTTGTCAGGGCCTCCTGTAGAAGCCTGTCCGCGACCCTTTTTTGCGGGGGGAGTACTGCGAATGGAACTCAGGACCCTGCATCCCCTGTCCGAGACTGTCTTAACAAGCCTTTCTTGTTCGTCCCTCTGGCGGGTGAGCATCTGTGACATCCTCCATCTCCTCCAAGCTGCTGTTTGTTTTGGCCTAACAATTGCTTCTCAGATGCAGGTTCATTCTGAGCCGAAGCCAGAGCTCGAAGCCCAAGAGGTACCGACATCCAAGTGACAGGGTATCAAACTGGAGGCAGTAACCTGCAGCTAGTTCTGGGGCGCCATGCTGAGGGTGAGTGCAAGCCCAAAACAAAAAAATCCCAGCCACACAAGTCCACATGCTGGAACATTGCAGATAGATTAGATTAAAATGAAACAGTAAAACGAGAGGAATGAGAGAGAGAGAGAGAGAGAGAGAGAGTGTGTGTGTGTGTGTGTGTGCGCGTGTGCGTGTGTGTGTGTATAGACCTGGAAAGTTGCAGTTCACCAGGAATATTCTAAACTTGCAGAGATGTAGTAACACAGCCTCCAAGTATATAGAGCAGACATGGGCAGAGCTACAAGAGAAAGCAAGGTGGCGTAATCATAGGGAGAATTGTTTTTGCACTTTTGTATTGATATACAAATTTATCAGAATGGTTTTTTTTTAAACCGGAAATCGAACTCAGGACCTTGCATTTGCCAGGCAGGCACTTGTGCCACTGAGCTGTATCCCCAGCCCAGAGATACAAATTTATATAGGACAATGAAATGAGTAAATCTTGAATATACAGTTAGAGGGATTCTGAAAATGTGTCCAACCATGAAATCATACCTCTAGTAAGACAGAACATTTCCATTCTCGGAAAGATCCCTTATGTTCCTTTCCCAGGCTGTTCCCTGTTCTACCCCAACTGCTCTACAATTTCATATAAATAGTCTCATACAGTATACTATTTTTGCTCTGGGCATTTTCATCTCTCTTTCTTTCTTTAGTGTTTTCTTTCTTTTTTTTTTTTTTTCCAAAACATGGGCCTCACACACTTTAAGCACTACCAGTGAGCCACATCCACCACCCCATACTCAGCTTCCTTTGCTCAGCATATTTCCTGCTTTAAAAAAAAAAAAAACATACCTGGGGCCGGGAATATAGCTAAGTGGCACAAGCTCCTGCCTGGCAAGCACAAGGTCCTGAGTTCGATTCCCAGTACCAAAAAAAAAACAAACAAACAAAAACAAACAAACAAAAAAAAACCATACCTGCCACCATACCTGCTTTAAAAAAAAAAAACTCATCACTACCCAGCTGGGCAGGAGGCAGAAGGTGAATCCTGCTGTGAGCCTGGACTAAAGGGTGAGTTTAAGTCCAGCCTATATTACAAAGTGGCACCTTGTCTCAAAAAACAAAAAACAAACAAATGAAAAAGATTCATCCCTATAATCTTTCCTGTTCAATTCCTGAATAGTACTGTGCTGAAACAGTTTCTAATATGGGAAGAATTTTCTCAATATTTTTTATGTTATTGATAATGTTATAAACAAGAAATACTTTTAAATTTATTCTGCACTGTTATTTTCTTTACATTTCTTAAGTATATATTTTCTTAAATGTATCTACTTGTTTATCTATTAATCTGCCATGGATGTTTGAGTGATTTTCTTTTTTTTTTTTTTTTTTTGAGACAGGGTCTCGCTATGCAGTTCAGGCTGGCTTTGAGCTCACTTTGTAGCCCAAGTTGGTCTTGAACTTGCCGCAATCCTCCTGCCTCAGCCTCCCGAGTGCTTGGATTACAGGCGTGTGCCACCACGCCTGGCTAATATTTTTATATTCTTGACTGTCAGTTTGGGTTTTCCAGGAAGCCAACACCAAAAAGGAATTAAAAGTAAAGGAGATTTATTGCGGGGGGCGGGGGATTCTTGTGAAAGAACAGTAGAAAAAGTCTTCAGGGCAAGATATAGTTAGACACAGTAGAAATAAGAAGGAATGGAAAATAGTTGGGTAAAAGAATGTTCAAACTTCAGTGCAGCTCTGAGAAAGTCTCACCCAACTTAAGCGCTCCACCACATTCTGTGAATGGAAGAGTTCTGCAAGCAACGGCAACAAGGCATTACTGGCCTCCCAGTTGTTGACTAGACTTCCTTGGGAAGGGCATGTTATACTGCAGAGGGTCTTAGTGGTCCTGTGGCTGGAGGCTGTCAGCCAGTCCTGTGCTGATAAATAGTAAACCTGCCAGGTGTGGTGGCACATGCCTGTAATCCCAGCACTCGGGAGGCTGAGGCAGGAGGATCCTTGCGAGTTGGAGACCAGCCTGGGCTACAAAATGAGCTCAAGGCCAGCCTCAGCTGCATAGTGAGACCCTGTCTCAAAAAAGACCCCCCCCCCAAAAAAAATAGTGTACCAGCTCACAGGGGGAAATATGTATGTGATTAAGCTTATTATACATTTAAGATTTTATGGACTTCAATTGTAGCACACACTTATAATGAATAAACTGTTTACTATAAATTCCTCGTGGTAACTGATTCTCCCAGAATACTTTCATTAGTTTTTGCTAAACTCTTGTATCTGAGCCAGTCTGTGACTGTTAGTAACAATGTAGTTCCAACAAAAATGTTGCCTGATATTTTTGTTTATGAGTAAGATAAAGGTGAAACATCCACGATGTATCTATGTTGAAATTTCACTTTCCTGTTGGGACCAATTTCTTTGCTGAAATAGATAATACTTTTTTAATACTAGGAGAATTTTCCTTAATTTTTTAAATTCACAATGTAAAGGTTAGAGACAACACATACAGTTCTGCATTATTGACTCTCTTTCCCTCTCTCCCTTTCTCCTTTTTGTACTAGGGATTAAGCCGAGGGCCTTCACACTGAGCTACATTCTCAGGCCTTTTTTATTATTTGAGACAGTGTCTAAGTCACTAAATTCCCCAGGCTGGGCTTGAATTTGTAATCCTTCCGCCTTGGCCTCCCAGAGTGCTAAACTTATAGGCATCCACCACCACAAACAGCTACCCATCAATTCTTAAATGTAAATCTCAGATTTTGGTATTTGCTGGTTTCTTTGTCAATACTCCCATCATTGCTGATTTCAAGCTACCAACAGGCTATCACTGGACAGGGGTTTGGGGAAAGATGTCTGGCAGCACAGCATTATACAGTCCTCCACCGTACAGATGCAGTGGGTCTAAGTAACATAAGGGGAAGTGAAAAGTTTTGAGAAATTAACTTTGTTTTTAATATTATAATTTTACATTTTTTTTTTTTTTTGAGACTGACTCTTGCTGTGTTGTGCAGGCTGACCTTAAATTCACTATAGAGCCCAAGCTGGCCTCAAACTCAAAGTACTCCTCCTGCTTCTGCCTCCCAAGTGCTGGGATTACAAGCATGCACTACCACGCCCAGTTTTCATGGCTATATTTAAACAGTTTGCAGATTTCCTTAAAATATCACAGTTAAGTCTCTCAAGCCAGTAATAGCAGGTTCCAGTGCACTACTATATCAGTTGACTGCATCTTTGATCCTGTCTCTAAGGGAACTCTAAGTCACCTCAGCTCCATGGCTGCCATGTTTGATATTATGAATAAATCATTTACTAATCATAATAAAATGTATAAGCCTTTTTGATACACTTGTGTACACACAGTCTCAAAATGAAAGGGCACAGATTTGAATAGCAAAATAAAGAAACAATATATATATGAGACATAGCTAACATATGTACACACAATTGGAAAGTATATATTATTTTAGTGTTATGGGAATAATATCAGGACCTCCAAATATAATATAAGGGAAATACTATCATTCTCAACCAGCTAGATGTCCAATATGCTGAATTTGTATACTATAAAATCGAAGAATGCTAGGAACAGCAGAGATTAAGAGTAGGAAATATTTACTGAGTGGAGAGATACAAGGGGACCCAAGTGGGTTGCTGAGGACCCCACTTTTCAGGGGAAGTTTCCCCCCTACCCCAGGGGAAGTTTTATAGAGCACAACCACATAGGTACAATGTGGGTTAAGGCTATGGTCAACCATTAAGATGGTAAGTATAGGGGCTGGGGATTTAGCTCAGTGGCAAAGCGCCTGCCTGGCAAGCGCAAGGTCATGAGTTCAGTTCCCAGTACCAGAGAAAAAAAAAACCAAAAAAAAAAAAAAGATGGTAAGTATAGTTGCTTTGGCCATATTGATCCATGGGAAAGTAAGTCACATAGCAAGTATACATGGAAAGAACAAACAACTAAGGAAAAAGAACAAAGAACTTTTTAGGAGGTGAGGAATCCAAGGGTCTTGGTCACCCACAGAGGTAACTGATGTTTATTAGAGCAGGTGCTATAATTTACTGTAGGCCTGGTCTTTCCATCTTTATCTTGAGGCCTGGCCTCTAACAGATGCGCCTCCAGACACAGTTGTAATGAGTTTTCATCTTGCAGTGACTCGCTCAAGGGCCCAGCCCTACCCAACTGCCTATAATATTTCTACCTAGCTTAGATGTCTATAGTGTTAGGCACATGCAGAACATTATGAGAAGTAACCATAGTAATAAGTCATAAAGCATCAACAGATTTCAAATGACTCGATCAACTTTCTCTGATCACTTAATCCAATTAAGGTTAGTTATTAATCAGAGAAAAATAACTGGAAAAGACTTTTCAGTTTGGAAATTTTAAAACACTTCTAAAAACAATTCATGGATGATAGAAGTCATAATCATAAAAATCAATTCTAAAATATGTAGATTCAAATAATAGTAAAATTACTGTGTCAAAATGTCTTAGATATAAAATGGTACAGCAATTTTGAAATAGATTTTGGCAATTTCTCTGAAAGTTCAGATTCAGTTGCTGTATGACTCACTGCTAGGTCTATTATCCAAGAGAACTGAAAACATATGTTCACAAAAACCTTGTATACAAATGTTCATAGCAGTCAAAAAGTGGAAACACCCACGTGCCCATCAGCTGGTGAATGAGTGAACGAACTGTGGAGTGTGCGTACAGAGACTGTTACTACTAAGACATAGCAAGGAGTGACTTTGGCTTCTACCCTGCGCTTGGTCCTGGCAGTGCCGTGTACCTTGGCATGGGCGGTGATCAAAGAGTTGAGAAGCAAAATGACCTGCTGTGAGATAAGTGCAGTGCTACTGAAGAAGCTGAAATTTACAGAATGCCAACAACAAAAGAATTTTAAGCCAAACTGGACATGGCAGCATACACCTGTAATTCAGTACTCTGGGAGGTAGAAGCAGAAGGATCCCAAGTTTGAGGCCAGTCTGGGCAACTTAGTGACTTAGCAAGACCCTGTCTCAAAAATGAGAATAAGAAAAGGGTTGCGGATGTAGCTTAGGATAAGGCTCTGGGTTTAATTCCCAGGACTGGGGGCAGGGGTGTGGGGAGAAGCAGGAATTATCAAAGTAAATGTGGAGGTGAAAAAAGTAATGAAAATCTTTAGGCTTAAAGAGGATGTTGTCATTGAGTTTGCATCCAGCCAGCTGGAGTGATGCCTGAGCCAAAATGGAAGTGATTCCTCGCATCTGAAGTATAACATCCTCACTTTATATGGCCACAACAATGTCTCAGTGCCACTCTGGCTCACTTCCTGTGTGTGCATTTAGGGAACAGGATCCAAAACAGGGCAAAAGCACCCGGTGGTTTTTGAGGGGAAAAATGCTGGAGGACTTACGTGGAGGACCTGGCCTGCGCTGAATGATTAAACTGAAAGACTGAACAACGGGATGAAAACACATAGGTGCTAGAGGAGCGAACGGTTAAAACACGGGGCAGAAGCACACAAAGAACTGAAGTGCGAGGCCCAAAGCACACAGGCTCTGTGAGAATCAGCTGCAGGGGGAAAGCGCAAACTGTGAGAATCAGATGGTCAAGCATCCGCAGTTCAGATTAGTGAAGCATGCTGTTTGCCATGTCCTTCCCCTTTTCCCAAGAAAAACTGCCTAACCTTTAGTCAGCTCCTGTCCCACACTGGTTTTTCTCACTTTTAGAATATTTACAGTGACATTCTGAATAAAAGCCAAAGGGTTTTTATTTTGGTAGTTTTTCGTTGCCCCAGCGTCTCCAGCGTCTCCCTGACTGGTGGATGCTGTCGATGGAGAGCCCCTCTCTGGGCCGCCCAGTGACTGAACTAAGCCTCGCCTCCAGGTGAGTTTCTATCCTCCGCATTGCCAGTGCCTCATTCGGCAACACCTTGACAGAGGGACGGTGGCCCTGCTGTTAAATGCATTCTACTTTCCTAGAGCTAAAGAAGAGATAAAACAGACTCAACAAGAAAAGTGGCATCTGTGAAACGCGAAATGGACACATATTTGTCTATCCAAGAATTCGACTCTCTATTATGGTCTGAATGCTGATGTACCCCAAATCCACGTCTTAGGGGCTGGGGATTTAGCTCAGCGGCAAAGCGCCTGCCTGGCAAGCGCAAGGCCGTGAGTTTGGTTCCCGGTACCAGAGAAAAACCAAAAAAAACCAAAAACCAAAAAACAAAAAACCAAATCCACGTCTTGGAACCTAATGGCCAGTGTGGCAGTATTAGAAGGTGGGGCCTTTGGGAAATGATTAGATTCAGAGGACTTCACTCTCATGATTGGGATCAGTGCCTTTATAAAACAAGCCTCTGGCTGGGTGTAGTGGCACATGACTGTAATCCCAGCACTAGGGATGCTAAGGCAGGAAGATCACCACAAGTTCAAGGCTAGCCTGGGATATACAGTGAGTGCAAGGCCATCCTGAGCTACAGAGTAAGACCTTGTCTCAAAAAACAAACAAACAACAAACAAAAAATTAATAGGCCTCAGTTCCCTTTGGTAATGTAGACCTGTCTTCTGGAAAGTTTATAAATTTTGGTCATGAGTATTTTGAAAGGAAAGAAATTGAGACTTTGACATGCTTTCTCTTTGAAATACACTTTTTTTTTCAATACTGGGGATAGAAACCCAGGGCCTTGTGCATGCTAGGAAAACACTCTACCACTGAGCTATACCCTCAGCCCTTAAAGTCCATTATTAACACGCCAAGTGTGGTGGTGCACCCCTGTAATCCCAGCACTCAGGAGGCTGAGGCAGGAGGATCACCATGAGTTTGAAGTCAGCGTGGGCAACATAGTGAGCTCAAGGCCAGCCTGCACTATAAAGCAAGACCCTGTCTCAAAAGGAAGAAAGGAAGAAAGAAAGAAAGAAAGAGAAAGAAAGAAAGAAAGAAAGAAAGAAAGAAAGAAAGAAAGAAAGAAAGAAAGAAAGAAAGAAAAGGAAGGAAAGAAAGGAAAGAAAAAGAAAGCAAGCAAGCATTATTAACAAATTGTCTCATTGATTGGGACCATCTCCTCTACCATGACCCCTAAGTAGGTACTGAGACCCATTAGCAGGATACAGTAGTGAGAGCCCCAGCAAAAACACACAGGTAGAAGAGACATCTGGAATGGTGACTTGGGATTAACACAGATGCTGGAGGGCTACCTCTGATGCAGGGAGTATGTGAAAGATTATTACTTAGAAATGCCTGCATTTTCACTGGCAGCAGAAAATAAGCAAGGTAACATCACTTGGACCACATTTAATCTTCAAAAATACTCTGTGATGATATTGTGCTGATATAACTTAGTTTGTCTCAAAGATATGACAGAAAAAAATCCACCAAAATAAATGTTATTTCTTTTTCTTTTTTGGGACAGGGTCTCACCATGTATTCCTGGCTGGCCTCAAACTCACTATATGGCCCAGGTTGGCCTTGAATTTGCAGCAGTTCTCCTGCCTCAGCCTCGTGAGTGCTGAGATTACAGGTGTGGCCACCATGCCCAGATATTTTCTTGGAGATGCTATCTATCCCTTTTTCATATGATTAAAATATAATACATACTATGGGTACTAGTGGCTCACACCTGTTATTCCAGCATGCACCTGTAATCCCAGCACTTAGAAGGCTGAGGCAGGAGGAGCACTACGAGTTCAAGGCCAGCCTGGGCTACAAAGTGAGTTTAAGGCCAGCCTGGACTGCATAGTGAAATCCTGTCCAAGAGACCAAAAAAAATTGCTGTCTAGGGCATTTACTTTTGCAATAAATTTTTTTTTTTTTTTTTGTCTTTTTGAGACAGGGTCTGGCTATGCAGTTCAGGCTGGCCTTCAGTTCACTTTGTAGCCCAGGCTGGTCTCATACTCACAAGGATCCTCCTGCCTCAGCCTCCCGAGTACTGGGATTACAGGCATGCACCACCATGCCCAGCGTAACTTGCTCTTGAGCTGCTTGCTATCTCACTGATTATAGAGAAAGCTGAAAACCAACTTGCTGGCATGCAATTTCCAGGGTGTTTTTCTCCACAACTGAATCTACTGTTCCTTAAAAAAAAATTTTGTGGCTGGGTGTAGCAGCACATGCCTGTAATCCCACATGCATTTGGGAGGCTGAGGCAGGATTGCTGTAAATTTGAGGTCAGCCTAGGCTACATAGTGGGTTCAAGGCCAGTCTGAACTACATAGTGAGACCCTACCTCAAAAACAAAACAAAACAAAACTCACTGTAAAAACTTTATCTGTACATCATTACTGTGGCTGTTAACATTTTGATTATAACAATATTTATTGTATGCTTATGTACTTGTCATTATGCATATATGTATCTTTGTGTTATATACCATTATTTCTTCAGGACAAATATGAATAAAAGGACAGAGTTTTGTTTTGTTTTTCTTTTTTGTGGTGCTAGAAATCAAACCCAAGGCCACAGCACTACATCCCTGTTGCTATGCACAGCTTGCGACCTGTATTTGTTTATTTATTTTTAGAAAGGGTCTCCTTAGGTACTCTAGGCTGGCTTCCAATGCAAGATCCTCCTGTTTCAGCTTCTTTGAGCTGGAATTACAGGAATAAACCAGTACGCCTAGCTTTATGTATATTTTTTAAGGTTTTTGTTATTATTGCCAAACTACCTTCCAGAAAGTGCACACCAGTTTGCATACCAACCACTCTTTGCCATTAACACATGTCAGTTTTACTAATTCTGGCTAATCTGCTGTACTGTATTGGGGGGGTAGACATATTGCTTTATTGAAGAAACTCCTGTCCAAATTACTCCCATCTAAGAAAACACACAGAGCTTCCATAGGAATAAGAACAAACAATATGGGGCTGAAGAGTGCCTCAAATGTTATTTCCTTAAAAAAAAAAAAAAAAAGTAGAAGGAAATCATAAATACGATCTTTTTACTTTACAGAAATGAAGAACTGAGTTCCAGTTTTTGATGCATATTAAATTCCAAATACAAAATTCACTCTCAGACCAAGATGAGGGGGAACATCATTCTTCAGTATTTTAGTTCTCATGCAATAACACCCACAGGTCTGTTGAATCCACCTTTTCTATTCATGTACTGCCTGTACTGCCTCTTGTGAGACACGTTTATAGCACAGGCATTTAAGAGCCGTCTACCTTCTCCCTTTTGTGGGGTCAAAAGAGGCAAATCCCATTAACGTCATCATTTCTATTTCTTCCTGTTTTGTTTTCTAGGTCTTCCTCAGTAATCTGATGTTCTTTGTTCTTTTTTTTTTTTTTTGGTTTTTCTCCGGTACCGGGAACCAAACTCACGACCTTGCACTTGCCAGGCAGGCGCTTTGCCGCTGAGCTAAATCCCCAGCCCCGTTCTTTCTTTCTTTCTTTTCCTCATCTTTTCTTTCAGCGGTGAAGGGGAAGGAGATGTGGATCTGTGTCGTCTTGGAGATCTGGAATGCCGCCCATGCGGGGACCTGGAGCGGCTTCTGCGATCTCTCTCCCCTGGGACTGGGACTTTCTGTAGCGCTGCGCTCTCTGGCAGGAGGTAGACCGGGATCATCTGTTTCCTCTGTGAAGATCGTGGGGATCGTCTGCGGCTGTGACCCATTCGGAGGCCTACTTCTCATATAGCCCCAGACAATCTACTTTACTGTATTATGTATTTTTTTGGATTAGTAGTGATAATGACGTGCTGACATGTTTATATACCTTTTGCAAATGACCTGTTCATGTCTTGCCTGCTTTTCTATTTTATTTTAGCATGATTATATTTTACTCTCAATGGCTTGAAAGGTTTTTTATATAGTAGGGATACTGACACCTTGTCTGTCAATTCATAACAAATGTCACATCTTCGCTTAGCTCAGGAACTTTCTCCTCTTGCTTAGGAGGATATGGTATTTGTTCTGTTCTAGTTATGAATTTTTTCTTTGTAAAACAATTAGCATTTTCAGATTCTTTTTTGTTTGCTTTTGACGCAGTTCAGGCTGGCCTTGAGCTCACTTTGTAGCTCAGGCTACCCTCGAACTTGCAAAGATCCTCCTGCCTCAGCCCCCCAAATGTGGGGATTATAGGCGAGTGCCACCACACCCACTTTGCATTTTCAGATTCTAAATTATTTTAATTGCTTTCAACTTAATATGTCCTTGTTATAGTTAAAAATTGCTAATCAAAGGTACCATATAGAGAGCAGCTAAGTTTTAAAAAGCACACATACTTCAGAGTACGGAGTATCTGTATGGTGCCAAAGTATGACCCACAGGTTATTTAATAACTGCAAAAGGGGAAAAATGTGTGTTTAAAGAGAGATCTGGGGCCAGCAATATAGCTCAGCAGCACAGCACCTGCCTGGCAAGTGTGAGGTCCTGAGCACCCCTCCACACACAAATCTGTTGGCAATCACTTTAACTAGGTTATCAAATTTAGTATTAGAATGAAATTGTTTTTTCATGTTGTGGGGCAAGGGCCATTATGCTGGGAAAGACCATCAAATGGGAGCCCATAGAACTGCCCTTACCTAGGAAAATGCTAAAGCGTAAGTGGCGACTTGTTCCTGGAGGGATCATGGAGGTCAGTGCCACCACCCAGGACTCGCAGACACAGAGGTGATGACTGCCACCAGCTCCCCACTCAGCTTTCCTTTTGACCCACTGGCGAATGAGGGTGGGTTACTGTAAGTTTAACCAAGCGGTGACTCCTAATTGTAGCTGCTGTGGTTTCATTACTTGAGCAATTAACCCATTTTCTGATACATGGTACGCAGCTAGTGATCTGACAAACGGCTTTCTTTCCTGTCTAAAAGGCTCACCACAGCGATTTGCTTCCAGCTGGTTAAGGCTGGCAATGCCTTACACTTCAGAGGTAGAAAATTTCTGCAGCCCTATGTCGTAATTGTTTGTCAGGATCTTAACTGCTTTTCCCTCTCACAAGCTATTCCACTCACCCATTGTATTGATGACACTAAGCTGAAAAGACCTAGTGCACAAGAAGTAGCAACTGTAGGTGTAGTGATAAAATATTTGCATGCCAAAGTGTGGAAAATGACTATAAAGGAGACTTCTACCTCTGTGAAATTTTTGAATCTGGTTGGGTGTTTTGAAAACTGGAAGCAACTGACAGACTTCCGGAGCTGCAGGGGCCAAAATGCTCAATCTCTTTGTGACTTCACACTGAAGAACCAGAGATGGCAATTAAATGTACTGTGCTACATCCACAGGAAGGTTGTATCTTCCCCTCCCTCCTTCAAAGAGCTCAGGCAGAAGTACAGCGCTTGAGTTACGCTCATCTGCAAGTACAAGGAGGTTCAGGTTGTATGAGGACACTAGAAAGGTCAGAAGATTGGCACAGTCCAGATTTACAAGAAGGAGTATGTCAGCTACACTGAACAGACGCGGCACAAAAAGGCAAATGGCAAACCCACCCATGTGGGCATCCACCTCAGCAAGGTGGTGATCACTAGGTGAAAACCAGACAACACAAAGAGATCCTGGGATAGAAAGCCAAATCTCTCCAAGCTGGAAAGGAAAAGGGTAAATACAAGGAAAAAACCATTGAGAAAATGCAGGACTAAAGTAATCTCATACACAACTTTTAATTAAAAACTAAAATAAAAAAGGTATCTTTTCTAAAGTGAACAGTAAGTTGCCATGTCTAGCACTTTCTACAACCGAAGAGTGCATTTAGTGGGCCTCCGGATTTTGAAGGCAACATGTTCCTCACCTGGATGTTATTCTGACCCATAGAATGAGTAGTGACTCAAAATACTGCTAGTTTTGAGTGGGTCCTGAACAGAAGGCTCTGCAACAGGCCCAAACTGCTGTGAGTTGTTCTGCTGCTTGGGTCATATGTCCAGCAGACTCAGTGGTACATGCATACACAGAAGCAATGGCAGAGGGCTGACTGTTGTTTGAATGCTTTGGCAGACTATTTGGGAACTATATAGCATAGGTAGGCCTTTAGGATTTTGGAGCAAAGTTCTGCCATCCATTTCTTTTTGAGAAAAAGCTTTGACCTGTTACTGGGCATTAGTAAAGACTAACCATTTAACCGAGGGCAAAGTTGCCATGCTTTCACAAGCTGGATGTTATCTGACCCAACAAGTGAAAAGACATGCAGAGTAGCACTGTATCATCAAATAAGTAATAAAAAGCAGGTGTGGTGGCACATGCCTGTAATCCCAACACCCAGGAGGCTGAGGCAGGACTGCCATGACTTTGAAGCCAGCCTGAACTACAGTGAGATTCTTGTCTCCAAAAAAAAAAAAAAAAAAAAGATATACACGATTGAGCCTGAACAGGGCCTGAAGACACCAGTTACATGAAAAAAAAAAAAAAAAAAGGCCAAATTGCATACGGTCCCCACTCCCTTTGTCTGTGCGTAAGGCTTCATAGGGAGTTACCTACACAAAGACAGAGGCTCAGGCCTGTTCAGGTGGATCTGCATTACATGCAGGTATTACTAGGCCGCGGCAACACTACTGCTCCCCATCCGCACCCGAGGCAATCTTCCTATGGGCACAATTTCAGACACTGTACTTTGTTTGGTGGGAGAACTGGCCAGATGTAGAAATGAACTGGCACTGTCATGGTTTAGGTCTAAAATGACAAAGCCTTAAGTTTTTGGAAGGTGACTACATTACGGGTACATTATAACTGATTCACTGTTAGGATGGGGTGGGGGGTGGCAGAAAGAGGTGGGTCACTGTGGGCATGACCTGAAAGGGTAATCTCCTTCCTTGATGCTCTGGCTCCTGGCTGCCATGAGGTGAGCAACTTTCCTTTGCCAGACCCTTCCCCATGCCTTCCTGCCTCAAAGCCAGACAACCATGGGCTGAAATGTGAGCCAAAATAACCGCTCCTGAATTGTGGATAGTGGGTATCATGCCTTGGCAATCAGAAAGTGGTTAGGACAAGTGTACAGATTCATGGGCTGAAGCCAAAGGTTTGGCTGGACGGTCAAGGACTTGGAAGGAATATGATTGGAAAATTGGTAGAAAGTGATTTGTGAACACCCTGGGCAAAAAAATGTGAAGATACTTGTGTACCATGTAAATGCTCACCAAACTGTGACCTCAGCAGAGAATTTTAATTATCAAGTGGACAGGATGACCTGCTCTCTGGAAAGCAGTCAGCTTGCCACAGCCCTGCCCAATGCACTCAAAGTGGTCACAGTGGCTGTGACGCAGACCACACACAGGTATACAACACGGACTTTCACTTAGCCAGGCTGGTCCGGATGTAACCACTGCTGAGCTCCCGTGCTGCCAGCAGCACAGACCAACACTGAGTTTCTGAAGTGGCACCACACCCCAGCTACCTGGTGGCACATTGATCACACTGTACTTCCATTTTGGAAGCGGCAGTTTTATCCTTAGTGGGATGGACTCTGGGTTGTTTTCTTCCCTCCACGTTTCTGCCAGAACTACCATCTGTTGACTTAATATTTAAAAACACTTGGAGCCGCTGTAGTGGTACACATCTGTGATCCCAGCACTCAAAAAGCTGAGGCAGGAGGATCGTTGCCAGTTCAAGGCCAGCCTGGGCTACAAAGTGAGCTCAAGGCCAGTCTGACCTGCATAAAACCCTGTCTCAAAAAAGACAAACCCACCAAAAAGCCTTGGTACAGGGCACTGAACCCAGGGCCTCATATGTGCTAAGTACACACTACCACTGAGCTACTACATGCCCAGTGCTTTCAACTGATCGACTGTGGTACTGGAGATTGAACCCAGTGACACTACCACTGAGCTACATTCCCAACTTTTTTATTGTGTGTGGGGGTGTCTTTTTGAGACAGGGTCTTGCTATCCAGTTTAGGCTGGCTTTGAGCACATTTTGTAGTCCAGGCTGCTCTCAAATTTGCAATGATCTTCCCACCTCAGCCTCCTGAGTGCTGGGATTACAGGTATGCGCCACCACACCCAGCTAGGTGTTTCCTTAGGCCTGAAACTGGCGGTGATACTTAATTGTAAAACTAAGTTCTAGCCAGGTGTGGTGGTACATGTGATCCCAGCATTCTAGGAGTATCACAAGTTCAAGTGAAGTCTGGTAGCAAGACCCTGTCTTAAAAAAGAGGCTGGGCATGTAGCATGTAGATCAGTGTGAAACCCCAGGGTTCAACCCCAGTAATGGAACCCCACAAAAAGCCAAAACCCTAAAAACATACAAACAACTTTTTAAAAAAGCAGATCAATCCACCATTAAAAACCCCATTTTTCCACACCTGGTTGAACTCTCACCTTCAGATAATTCTACCACTTTGCAGTAACTCTACATGTAACACTTCTGAGAGCAAGCAAGCTTTAGGTGCATTTCAAGCCAAAGTGCCATATTTAATATAGTAATTCTTACCCATTTAACATGTGTAAAACTTACTGGTTTTATTAGGTTCCTCTTGTTCTGTACCCTAAAGACATTTTCAGATTTTTTGGTGGTGGTGCTGGCGTTCAAATTTAAGGACTTGTGCACGCTTGGCATGAGTCACTTTCTCTCTGCTGAGATACCACCTAACACACACAGGTTGAGGGTTACTTTGACTCAGTCACAGTCCATGGCTGGCAGGCTTCAGGGGAGAATGGCATGGCAGAGAAAGAGATGCTACTTTCCTATAGGCCAAGAAGCAGAGCAAGTAGGAGCTGAGAGATACCCTTCAGGTGATACCCACAGCAACCTGCCTCCCCCAGTTAGTCACCACCTCCCAAAAGCAAGCTCGCTAGATTCCATAATCCAATCTTTTCCAAAAGCCCCGTGTACGAACGACTGCATGACACTCCAGGGGAGATGTAGACATAAAACATTAACGGCATGCTTTACTGAGTTGCAGCCCCAGCCCAGATTTCTATGCACAACGTTTTCATCCTAGAGTAACTCTGACATAAATGTTATGCTTCAGAACTGAATGGCTGATGCAAGCACCTGCCTAGCAAGCACAAGGTCATGAGTTTGATTCCTGATACCACTCAAAAAAATAAAAAAATAAGAAACAGAACTGAATGGCAAAATGTCAATACTATTGAATGTAAGTAGAAGTGGTTTAATTTATACCAATGCAAATTTAAGAAAACCAGTTACAAAACGTTTCTCTTGCAAGAGTTATAAGAAATGTTTGTAACTACTTAAATTTTAGTTATAAAAAATATTGTGGAGCTGGGAGTAGCGGTGTATGCCTGTAATTCCAGTATCTGGGAGGCTGATGCAGGAGGCCTGCCATGAGTTAAATCCAGGCCAGTCTGAATTACAGACCTTGTCTCAAAAAACCACAAACCACCCAAAATCCCTAAAATAATATGGATCCAACTTATAGTCTATTTTAAAAGTCTTTTGCCTAAAAGCTCTATAAAGCTTTGTGTAGAGTGGCTAAGAAATTAAAAATGATCACTAGTTTATTTTTCCCAGCAACGGGGAAGGCAGAGCCAGGAGGATCACTGTGAGTTTGAGGCCAGACTGAACTACACAGCAAGATTCTGTCTCTTAAAATATAACAAAAAGGCCCCTAGTTAAAGTGTGTGCAGAATCGGGAAAAGACTAATTAGGTTATCTTACACTGTTCATGGTAAGGGCTGACACCCAAATGAGACATAATATATGGATAAAAATACCTTTTGTACAAAAGATTTGCAGCATGAGCACTTGTTTTTTGTACTATAGTGGTGAGGACTGAATCTAGGGCTTCATGCATGCTAAGCAATCTCTATCACTAAGCTAGCTACACCCCTATCCCAGCACTTACTTTTGTACTTGTAGAAGGATCTTAGGTAACACCACAGTACTCTTAGAGAAAGGGATTATGATACCAGCGGAAGGCTTTCTTCTTAACCTTTGTATCTTTCTGTATTGTCAGAAATTTTTAAAACAGCATGTGCATTTTTGTTTTAAGAGGCATTTATCAGTGGTATTTTAGTCCATTTTTTTCTTCTACTTTAAGGAAACAAGAGTAAGCCATTAAAACGCCATTTAAGTCTTTGTGTATGTAGTATTTCTTATATAGGTTTTCAAAAGTATCACAAATACAATATTAGGGGATAGACCAATCAATCTTTTGAAATCAGGTATTTAATATTGAGTTGTTCCAACACAATTTCAAGCAAACGCCAACCAGAAGACCAAGTCCAGGAATTCAGAGCACAAACAACCCTTTGAACAACTAGGAATACCAAGATCTTCTTCCACTTGAATTGCAGTACTGGTAATATAATGCTGCCAGTCAGCCACTGTATTCAGATTATCGAGTGTTTACCTGTTAAGAGAAAAACTTAGGATTTACTTTCAGAATATTAAGTTTGGAAGGTGTTCAAGGCAATTATCCAGATTTCCCCTCATTTTTACAGATGAGAAAATATTATCATCTGCCATCACTTTGATTACTAGCAAACATTTATTAAAATACCACTGTTACAACCTTTAAAAAGTGCAGCATAGCCTTATAGGGAATTTGCAAACTATGTATACTTACCACATCATCAATTTTCAAAATGCTCCGGACCGTTTCAGTTGCTAGGGTCAGCGCACTGACTGACACCAACAAAGGCTGGACAACCATCTCCTCCAAAATGTTGGAGATACCACCCTGCAAATCAGCACCGACAGCTTTCAGCGTTTGTGATTATAAACACCAACAAGCACCCTATCATCAGAATGCTCCAAGACCTGCTCATGCAAAAGTTTCCCCCTGTCCAGGCACATTAGGATAAAATATTGTACGAAGCTCTTCTCTACGCTGCAGGTTGCATTCTAGCTGTAATTTGGAAAAACTGAATGATAGAGTCCCCTAATCCTGACCCTCAAGCAATTTCTAAGTATCATTTATTTTTCCTTTACATCTCTTGTATTTCCGGTGTTAAATTCTTCACTGCACTACAACTCTTGTCCCCTTTATCCCAGGGACACTGCTAAGGGCCAAGATGTTTCCCTGGCTCCAGTATTGTTATGTTTAAAAAACTTTTTTCAGGGCCGGGGATGTAGCTCAGCAGTGCTGCGCCTGCCTGGCAAGCATGAGACCCTAAATTGTTTCCAGTATTAAAAAAAAAAATTCTCTTTTCTTTGCTTTAGCCCTTGCTTAAAAAAAATTAGGGGACCCCAACTATTAGAAGAAAAACAAATGCCCTTTTCAAGGCTTCCTCATCCTGGCTTTTATCTATCTTTACCTTAAAATCTACATTATTAACATACAGCCCCTCTCTAGACAAGCAGATAACCTCTAGGCTCCTTTACCTGAAACCACAGCTTCCTTAAATGTAATTTCCTTATCTCCTACCAACCAAAGTTGCATCTTCATACAGTTTCCCCTAACTAGGGAGTCAGCCTTCCGAGTTCCACATGATTCAGCAATAACACCATGAACTGTTACTTCTCCCACTTCACGTATTCTCCCCTCAATAAAACATGAACAAACCAGGGACTGTTACTACTCATTTGTGTTTACGCTGTGTGACTACACCCGGTCATGCTCACAACAGGAGCAACGGTTAATATTTACAGCGTTAATCAGTAATGAATTGGCCCTCACAACAGATCTATGAGGTCACTATTAATCACCTCTACTTTTAGAACTGAGGAATGTAAACTAAACTAACTTGCTGAAAGTTACAGTCAGTAAGTGGCAGAGTCAATGAACAATATATTCTATTCTACTCAAGTATCATCTTTGTTCTTTTTTTTTTTGTTTTTTCTCCAGTACCAGGAACCGAACTCACGACCTTGCGCTTGCAAGGCAGGCGCTTTTGCTGCTGAGCTAAATCCCCAGCCCCTCATCTTTGTTCTTAAAAGCACACATTAACTTGTGGTAGTCCTCTCAAATCATTACCTTTCGGACATTAATGCCTGCAGTTTTCTCTCCGTGGGCATGCCGGTTTCTCAGTTCTGTTACTGTGGAAATGGGACTCAGGCCGGCGTTCTCAGCTAGTGTAGAAGGAATTACCTCCATAGCATCTGCGAAAGCACGGACACAGTAGGATTCCATGCCACTCAGTGTTCTTGAGTACTCAGTCAATCTCAGGGCCAACTCTATTTCTGGAGCGCCACCTCCTGCAATAAGAGCTCTGAGACACACAGGTAGTTTTAGGTCATTTTATCCAACACAAAACTATTTATAATAATTTATTCTTTATATTCTGAAAAGTCAAAGTATCTAAGGTTTAATGTTCAAAATATTACTTAGTTGAGGGTTGGAGATACAGCTCAGCAGCACAGCACCTGCCTGGCAAGCGTGAGGTCTTGAGTTCAAGTCCCAGTATCCACACACACAAAAAACTACTTAGTGATCTGAAGTATACATTACCTCTTCTTCACTAAGCAGCGAATAACACACAGGGCATCGTGAATGGAACGTTCAGCTTCTTCAATCACCAGTTTGTTAGAGCCACGAACAACAATTGTAACTGTTTTTCCAGTGCTTGCACAGCCTGTGATCTTTAATAATTAAATTTTAAATTAGGTATTTGAGGTAAAGATTAAACAAAAACAAAAAGCCCAGGGAAATAAAGCTTAATTACACTGTTACCTTGAGCAGTTTGCCAGAACCATTTAAATTGACCTCTTCAGCTAACTCAGCAGAACCCAGCATGTCAGTGGTGAACTGGTCAATATGAGCAACTGGCTTGGTTCCAATTGTCTGGGAAAAAAATAAACTGACAAATTAAAATTTATCAGCTCAATGGACATTTTTATAGATTTACATACAACAGATGTTAGTATTTTACCTTACAAATAAATTCAATGTCTTCTCTTTCAATATCCTTAACCACCATGATCTTCATCTTGTTCAGAAAATGTAATGCAAGATCACTAAGAGCATCTCTAAAATATAAAACCAGTGCTTACATTAACACTATGTGAAAAAAACTGCTGTTAAACAGCTGTTAAGGCTTTCAACTATTTTACTATTGTTCAAATGGCTATTTATGGAGGAGAAACCGATCACTTTCATCATAGAGAATTTGTACCTGTACACGATATACCTTAGGTGCTTGGGTGGCCAAGTGGTGTAAGGTGCCAGACTCAGGACTACCCTGATTCTTTTTTTCCCCCCATTCCCCTCCCCTTTAAGCCATCTTCTCCTTATTTACAAAATGAAGGAAAATGCTTTTGGTTTCTTTTTTTTTGTCTTTTTGAGACAGGGTCTCGCTATGCAGCTCAGGCTGGCCTTGAGCTCACTTTGTAGCCCAGGCTGGTCTTGAACTTGCAACAAAAGGAAAATGTTTTAAACATTAGTTTAAATTCATAAGCTCAAAATTCTTAATGTAAGACTTCAATTCTGTAGGAAACTTTATTGCAATTCCAAAGCATGTAATCGCTCCAATACTATCAAACATATAAAACTGTATCTGTATATTTTTCTTAATAAATGAGCATGTTGTGGTAAACTGAAAATTTATTGATATTTTATAAATTTAGAAGTATGATTCAAACTTTACAAATTTATACTTTCCCACAGTTTATCTGGAATGATCTTTCTAAGAACTTGATGATGCTGGTAGATATTACAATCTCCTGAAAGACAATCAGATTGAGTTCTGGGGACAACTGACTCAAGCAAGTATGTAACTTGAGATCAGAACCCAGTCTTCCAACTGTTCCCTAAGCACTCTATCTGTACAAAACAAACATCACTAGTACTTTTGGAATAAAATATCCATGGAGTAAACAGGGATAATGCCTACTTACTAGAAGAAAATACTGAAGGGGGGGGGGAATTATTTCAAACTTTTTGATCTGTGAACTAGCAAAAGCATTTCCTCCAATAACTTCAACGTTTTAAGGTAATCAATCACATGAGCCTTTAAATAAATGTCTCTTTGTCCTGGGGATATAGCTCAGTGGCATAAGTGCCTGCCTGGCAATAGCGCAAGGTTGTGAGTTCGATCCCCAGTACCGCAAAATTAAATAGATAGATAAATAAATAAATATCTCTTTAACTTATTAATTTTAGATCAAATTTAGCATTTTGTTTTTATTTTTGGTACCAGGAACTGAACTCAGGACCTTG